AGCTGCAGACCAGAGCGGGAAACGGGAGGAGGCAGTAAAATAACATGATCCCCACATATATATATGCTTTACATACACACAAACTTTCTCTTTTTGAGTTTAATTCTGTTATACCTTGTCTGGCTCCCCAACACGCACTAAGCCCCACCGCCATCAGTAATTACCTTCAACACCTGCGCACTCGCGTGCGATCCAAATCCCGCGAGATTTACTCTGCCCCCACCCTTCTGTGTGAACACCCCGAAGTCGTTTACCGCACCCCTTCTAATAACTGCACAATCTCCACTTTACCGTAATATTCCCATTACATTGTGTATGCCACAACACCATAAGGTGGATTGCCCCAATGTCCTCAAACAAAACAGAACTCACAGAAAGTGCTCCTATTACTAGCGACTATTAATTCAGCACAAGATTTTTTTATGAACTTATTGTTGCTTTCATCAATCTTTCGAACACGACACGTTAGGTAAAACTCCTCCCTTTTTTCACTAATATTTCTGCCTATTACTTCAGATCAATCCCAGTTGGTTATTAATTTCCTGCTGACATAAATATGTCCTTCCTATCCGCTCAATTTAGAACTCTCATAATTTTATATGCATTTATTTTGAAGAAAACAACCTGAGACAATCCAATATTCTTTCATCATTAAAAGTTTTCAATGACAAAGTCACTTTAAATCTTCTCGGTATCCCATCAATTGTGATCAAATCTTCCCTGTGATGGGGAGGCCAAGTATCCAAGCCTAACTAGTGTTTTATACAGTTCTAACTTAGTTTCTTATATTTCAATCATTGACTGATACAGGAATTATTTTGCATCATTCTTGATCACCTTACCTAACTGTCCTGCTAATGTCAGGGATCTGTGGATGGCCTCCTTGACCTGTCCATCTTCTCTCCATCTATCTGCTCCTTTATCCACCTTCCATCTTCGCCTCCCCCTCTCTCTACTTATTTGAGTGCCCTTCCCCTCTCCCATTTCTGAAGAAGGGTCCAGACCGAAATGTCAGCTTTCCTGCTCCTCTGATGCTGCCTGGCCTGCTGTGTTCATCCAGCTCTACAGCTTGTTATGTCAGATTCTCCAGCATTGACAGTTCCTACTATCTCTGTCAATGGAAGGAAGGCTGTTTTTCATGATGGATTGGACAGTGTTCACAACTTTCTACAATTTCTTGTGGTCTTGGGCAAAGCAGTTGTCATACAAAGCTGTGATGCATCCAGATAGGGTGTTTTCTATGGTGCATTTATAAAAATCAGTAGGTCATGTGGACTTGCCAAATTTCCTTAGTCTTCTGAGAGAGTGAAGGTATTGGTGTGCTTTCTTAACTGTAGCAATGACATAGATGGACCAGGATAAATCATTGGTGGAATTTACTCCTATGAGTTAGAAGCTCTCAACCACATCCATATCAGCACCATCAATACAGACAGGGGTGAGTACTCCAGTCCCTTTCTGAAGGTGATGACCAGGTCTTTTGTTTTGCTGACATTGAGGGAGAGATTGTTGTCTTTACAACATGCCACTAAGCTGTCTCTTTCTTGTACCCTGTCTTGTCATTGTTTGAGATGCCACCCACTATGGTGGTATCATCAGCAAATGTGTATATGTAATTTGTAATTAGTTCCTCTTGTAGTAGGAGTTTAGGACAGTTCAAGTAAGCCAGTTTCCCCAGCAGATATGTCTAGTTTGTGCAATTTCCATTCCAGGGGAATTTGGATATAAATCTGCAAGTTATTAGAAGTTTAGGCTTTTAGATTTGTGAAGAGTTCATGACAGTAGATTCAATTAGGAATCGTCAAATTGTCTCCACAGTTCACGGAAAAGAACTTGGAAGAAATTATTAGAAATCTAACGATGTGAAACAGGGGTGTAATATCTCTGGACTTATGTCTCTGTAGCTGATGGTATTGGGAATCAGGTTGTGACTTTGATGTTTGTATTCAGATATTTCTAATTGTAATGGCTTTGTTTTCGTCTTCTTTCTTTTGAGTTCTCAGCTGTCTTGTATGAACATGCTACACTGATCAACCACCTTAATTAAATAAGCAAATTAAACATCTGATCTATCAAACCAGGTTTAATTCTGGGATTGATTTGTCCAGAAATACTGTCATTTGGATCATAACAAATGCCAATTTTTAAACACCACTGCATTTATGTCTAAAGCTTTTGCATCGACCTAGGCACTGGAAAAGACAATGGCAGAAACACCCCTGTCGACCCTGCAAAGTCCTCCTCACTAATATCTGGGGGTTAATGCCAAAATTGGGAGAGCTGTCTCACATACTAGTTAAGCAACAGCCTGACATAGTCATACTCACAGAATCGTAGCTTACAGACAATGACCCAGATACCACCACCACCATCCCTGGATATGTCCTGTCCCACTGGCAGGACAGACCCAGCAGAGGTGGCAGCAAAGTGGTATACAATCGGGAGGGTGTTGCTCTAGGAGTCCTCAACATTGACTCCGGATCCCATGAAGTCTTATGGCTTCAGGTTAAACATGGGCAAGGAAAGCTCCTGCTGATTACCACATACCATCCTCCCTCAGCTGATGAATCAGTACTCCTCAATGTTGAACAACACTTGGAGGAAGCACTGAGGATGGCAAGGGTACAAAATCTACTCTGGGTGAGGGATTTCAATGTTCACCACCAAGAGTGGCTCGGCAGCAGTACTACTGATCGAGCTGGTTGGGTCCTAAAGGACATAGCTAGACAGGGTCTGCAACAAGTGGTGAGGGAACCAACGAGAAAGAAAAATATCCCACCTTCACATTGAGAACAACCTCCACTGTGTTGCGTGGCACTATCACCGTGCTAAATGGAACGACTTTGCACAGATCTAGCAACACAAGACTGGGCATCCATGAGGTGCTGTGGGCCATCAACAGCTGCAGAATTGTACTCCAGCACAATCTGTAACCTCATGGCCTGGGATATCCCCCACTCAACCATTACCACCAAGCCAGGGGGTCAACCCTGGTTCAATGGTGAGTGCAGGAGGGCATGCCAGGAACAGCACCAGGCATACCTGAAGATGAGGTATCAACCTGGTGAAGCCACCAAACAGGACTACTTGCACACCAAACATTGAAAGCAGCAAGTGATAGACAGAGCTAAGCAATCCCACAACCAATGGGAATCAGACCTAAGCTCGACAGTCCCGCCACATCAGGTCGTGAATTGTGGTGGACAATTAAACAACTCAGTGGAGGAAGAGGCTCTACATATATCCCCATCCTCAATGATGGAAGAGACCAGCACGTCAGTGCAAAAGATAAGGCAGAAGTATTTGCAGCCATCTTCAGCCAGAAGTGCCGAGTGGATAATCCATCTCGGCCTCCTCCAGTGGTCCCCAGCATTACAGATACCAGTCTTCAGCCAATTTGATTCACTCCACGTGATATCAATAAACGGTAGGAGACACTGGATACTGCAAAGGCTACGGGCCCTGACAACATTCCGGCAATAATACTGAAGACTTGTACTCCAGAACTTGCCGCTCTCCTAGCCAAACTGTTCCAGTACAGTTACAACACTGGTATCTACCTGGCAATGTGGAAAATTTCCCGAGTATGTCCTGTACACAAAAAGCATGACAAATCCAACCCGGCCAATTACCGCCCCATCAGTCTACTCTTGATCATCAGTAAAGTGATGGTAGGTGACATCAACAGTGCTATCAAGCAGCACCTGCTCAGAAATAACCTGCTCAGTGACACCCAGTTTGGGTTCCACCAAGGCCACTCAGCTCCTGATCTCATTACAGCCTTGGTTCAAACTTGGAAGAGCTGAATTCCAGAGGTGAGGTGAGAGTGACAGCCCTTGATATCAAGGCTGCATTCAACTCAGTGTGGCATCAACGAGCCTGAGCAAAACAGGAATCAATGGGCATCAGGGGGCCAACTCTCCGGTGGTTGGAGTCATACCTGACACATAGGAAGATGGTCATGGTTGTGGGAGGTCAATCATCTCAGCTCCAGGACATCTCTGCAGGAGTTCCTCAGGGTAGTGTCCCAGGCTCAACCATCTTCAGCTGCTTCATCAATGACCTTCCGTCTATCGTAAGGTCAGAAGTGGGGATGTTCACCGATGATTGCACAATGTTCAGTACCATTCGTGACTCCTCAGATACTGAAGCAGTCCATGTTCACATGCAACAAGATCTGGACAATATGCAATTTTGGGCTGACAAGTGGCAAGTGACATTCGCACCACACAAATGCCAGACTATAACCATCACCGATAAGAGACAATCTAACCACCGTCCCTTGACATTCAATGGTGTTACCATCACTGAATCCCCCACTATCAACATCCTGGGGGCTACTATTGACCAGAAACTCAACTGGAGTCACCACATTAACACAGTGGCTGCAAGAGCAGGCCAGAAGCTAGGAATACTGCATTGAGTAACTCACCTCCTGACTCCTCAAAGCCTGTCCGCCATCTACAAGGCACAAGTCAGGAGCTTCATGGAATACTGCCCACTTGCCTGGATGAGTGCAGCCCAAACAACACTCAAGAAGCTCGACACCATTCAGGACAAAGCAGCCGCTTGACTGGCACTACATCCACAAGCATTCACTCCCTCCACAACCGATGCTCAGTAGCAGCAGATGCTCTGCAGGAATTCACCAAAGATCCTCAGACAGCACCTTCCAAACCCACGACCACTTCCATCTAGAAGGACAAGGGCATCAGACATATGGGAACACCACCACCTTCAAGTTCCCCTCCAAGTCACTCACCATCCTGACTTGGAAATATATCGCCATTCCTTCATTGTCGCTGGGTCAAAATGTTGGAATTTCCTCCCTAATTGCATTGTGAGTTTAACCCACAGCAAGAGGACTGCAGCGATTCAAGAAAGCAGCTCACCACCACCTTCTCAAGGGCGACAACGGACAGGCAACAAATGCTGGCCAGCCAGCGACGCCTACATCCCACAAAAAAAACAAGAAAATATACTATAATAACCACATTTACCTGTTCCAGAATACTGGTTTCAAAGATTGAATGAAGGTTGCAACATCTCACCCTTTTATAGATGTGGCACATGCATTCATTCAGGGTGCAAAAATTAAAAGCAGCCTGGACGACGATGTAGTCCCTTAAAATTCAATTTGACACAACTCATGTTGCAACAGCATCACTGTGAGCCAGGCCTGGAAGCAAAGACAGGAAGTGGAGCATGTGCATGAACGACCACTACAGGAAATTTCCATGCAGTGAAATAGAATGAGAGGAAATTCCTGTAAGATGGACTCAAGCTGTGCCTCCTTCCCTAGGAGGTTTTGTGCAGTATTTCAACTTGGTGATGGGTGTTGCTCCAATGAATTTAGATGCTCCTCATCAGGTCAGCATGAATCACGCTATCAGTAACAAATTCTGATCTCGCGGACAGAAGGGAAGGGGCGTGGCCCGTTGGTTTGGTGGGAAGGGCGGGACATTTGGAATGGGCGCGGCAAGTCTATCCAATTGGAGTGGGCATGGTCCGGATGGAAGGGGAGGGGCTAGGGCACGCTCCCGACGTGGAATGGGCGGGACCAGGTTGGCACCGCGGCGGTGGAGGTTACGTCTGTAAGCACGCGTGCTGCCCCTCTCGGTCCGCCAATCAGAGGACGCGGTGTGGCGGTGAGCGCACCCGGGCTCGGCGCCGGCGCACATTGTGTTGAGAGCGCGCAGTTGGAGTGGCGGCTTTGCGTGAGCAGCAGTAATGGCACAGGTAAAAGAAGCGGCGGGTAGACTCCGGCCGGCCTCCAATGGTGGAGATAGTTGTGCGATTATAAAATCTGATGGGTCATACGGTTGTGCGGTCTAACCTGGCTGGCTCCCAGCCTGCGGGTGGAGGGAGTGAAGCGGCAGTTTCTGGGCCAGCTCTGATTGAGAGTTTCACGCCCTGTACTCGTGCTCGCTATGTATCACGGTTCTCCCACTGCTGCTAATCACTGAGCCTGCTATCCTCGGACAAAACCTGCATCAGCCTCAGTACCCCTGGCGACTCTGATATCTGATATGATCTTATTGAATGGCGGAGCAGGCTCGAAGGGCCAGATGGCCTACTCCTGCTCCTAGTTCTTGTGTTCTTATCCCCGTTTGCTGTTCAAAGTATATGTGGGTTTTTAAAAGGTAGGGAATTTTCGGCGCCCTCGAATGAATGGGCTCGTCTCTCTTTAAATGATCCCCATTGCGGATGGCAAAGCCAATACTTAGATCCCATCGGGATGTCTGCAAATTGGAGAATCAAAATAGGCATCTCAATACAGGGATTAATTCACAATAAAATTCACGTTACGGGTTCCTCTAACAGTAAGCAGAATTCCTTTATTGGAAAAATGTGATATTAAGCGATTAGTGGAAAGGTGCATCGAAATGCCTTAAAATGAAATGAACCTTAACTTTAGAGCGGACTTTTTTTTTAATTGTTGCGAAAAAGATCCTTGTCATTTAACAGCGGACGTTTATTATTGGCCCAGGTACCATAGCGTACTATCCCCCACACCGAACACAGTCATAAACGGAAATGCATCGGCCACACTGCTAAATATAAATGAATATGCAGAATTATAGACGACTCCTTTAATGTTATTACCATAAAGTTATTTTGAGGTGACAGAGTCATAGAGGTCTACAGTGCAGGAAAAGACCCTTTGGCCTATCAAGTTTGTAACAGTGAAAAACAACCACCTAACTATTCAACTCCCATTTTCCAATACTATGCTCACAGTCTTGTATGCCTTTACATCACAAGTGTATGCCTAAATACTACTAAAATGTTATGAAGGCTTATGCCTCTACCATCCTTACAGGCAGAGTTCCAGATTCCCATCACCCTCTGGGTGAAAAGATTTTCCTCTCAATTCCTCTGAAGCTCCTGATCCTTAGCTTCAAATCTGTGTCCCTGTTCATTGATCCCAAGGGAGTAGGTTGTTTCTTGTCTACCCTGTTTATGCCCCTCAATTTTATAAATCTCAATCATATCTCCCTAGAGGGATGAGAAAGTTGAAACATGTAAAATTCTTAAAGGGCTTGGCATCGTAGCAGCTCAGTAAATGTTTCCCTCACATTGGGAATCTAGAAGATGGGAGTACTGTCTCAGTAAGTAGTTGGCAAATTATTTTGAAAAGTTTGTTCGCTAGAGGTTGAGTGTCTTTGGAATTATCTACCCTGAAGGATTTTAGATGGTCACATTTTCAGTATGTTCAAGACAGAGGTTGATTATATGTTTGGGTAGAAAGGGACATTGAGATGTTGGTGTTCAGTCATAAATAGTGCTGTCAGCAACTACTAACAACATCTTACCTCGCAACTTTAATGTACTGAAACATCCAAAAGTCGCATTTTGACAGAAACTTTACAGAAGAAAATGAAACCAAGACAAATGCTAGGTAAAGGGATCACGAATTATATCAGAGTTTTAAAAAGCCTTTTAGAAGTCTAAAGTGAGGTAGAAAGGTAGTGGAGTATAAGGAAAATTTACATGGAATACAGTTATGGAGGATAAAAGGGGAGTGAATTCATGAGGGACAACATCAAGTTGAGTTCAAGGTAAAAATTGTTGAAAACAAAATGTAATTTGGAGCAGAGGTGGAGGAAGGAATTGTTAAAGAGATCTCGGTGATAGCATTTATACTGTACTTGGCAGGGCGGTACTGAATGATGATTTTTGAGAGAGTTGAGAATAAGCAGATGTGTTAAGAAAGAGATAATGTTACAGGACCTGTGGATAAAGCCAAGATGTGATCTTGTCATAAGCACTGAACTGCTGCTGCCTCAGTTTTGACGGGATACTTGATGGGAGATGTAGCTTGCTAAGGAGGTTTCATTGGGTGTCATCACTCAAGCAGTTTCTGTTAAAATAGTAATGTCAATGTGATCATCCACAATAAGTTGGTGGATGGCAGGGCCCTTATCACAAGTGAAAGGGCATTCTGGAAGGAAATGTGTGGAACTGTGCTGACAGCTGATCTGCTAGCAGTGTCCATAAAGTCAGCAGTAGTTGGTGAGAGCTCCCAGTTGGTCAGAAGGTTGAGAGTGGATGAAGCAATTAAACATAGAAACATAGAAGGTAGGAGCAGGAGGAGGCCATTCAGCCCTTTGAGCCTACTCTGCCATTCTTCGGAATCATGGCTGATTGTCCAACTCAATAGCCTAATTCTGCTTTCTCCCCATAACCTTTCATCCCATTCGCCCCCAAATGTCTCTTGAGTACAGTCAATGTTTTGGCATCAACTACTTCCTGTGGTAACAAAGTCCACAGGCTCACCACTGCTTGGGTGAGAAACGTCTCCTCATCTCCTTCCTAAATTGTCTACCCCGAATCCTCATACTGTGACTCCTGGTTCTGGACACACACACCATTGGGAACATCCTGCCTGCATCTACCCTATCCAGTCCTGTTAGAATTTTATAAGTCTCCATGAGAACCATCCCCCTCCCTCATTCGTCTGAACTCTAATGAAAACAATCCCAACCTAGTTAATCTCTCCTCATACGTCAGACCCGGAATCAGCCTGCTAAACCTTCGCTGCACTCACTTGAGAGCAAGAGCATCCTTCCTCAGAAAAGGAGACCAAAACACAATATTCTAGGTGTGGCCTCACCAAGGCCCTGTTTCACTGCAACAACACATTCCTTCTCCTGTACTTGAAACCTCTCACAATGAAGGCCAACATACCATTTGCCTTCTTTACCGCCTGCTGCACCTGCATGCTTACCTTCAGCGACTGGTGCACAAGGACACCCAGGTCCTGCTGCACGCTCCCCTCTCCCAATTTACAGCCACTCAGGCAGTAATCTGCCGCCTTGTTTTTACTTCCGAAGTGAATAACCTCACATTTATCCAAATTATACTGCATCTGCCATTAATTTGGTCACTCACCCAACCTGTCAAGATCATGCTGAAGGATCTCTGCATCCTGGTCACAGTTCACCCTCTCACCCAACTTGATATTATCTGCAAACTTGGAGATGTTACATTTTGTTCCCTCATCCAATTCATTAATATATATTGTGAGGTTGCTGCTCAAAATGATCCAGCATCTTCAATAGATGCAAAAAAAAGGAGGGAAGCTATAAACTTATTTGCCTGTGAGAGAGAGCAGGAATGCTTAGGAATACCCAAAGCTTGTGGTAAGGAAATGGGAGGGAAGATTACTTGAGTGTGCAGTCATGAATGGAGCATGAAGGATAAAGAGAAAAGAGGTTGAGAGTCTGATGCTTTACAAGATATTATCGTTAACAAGTTAGTATTTCTCAGCTTAATCACAAATCAATTTCCTTTGAAGAGAAGTTAAAACATATCTGAATCCCACATCACAAAATCTATTTCAATATTGTTGCTTGTGATTCACTGAGCTAACTGCCAAATGAGAACTGATTATAATTTTTATTAAAACCTCTAATCTTTACTTTGTTCAGTTACCATCTTTATCAATTGAATATTGTGAAGGAGTTGCATTTGATAATCCGGTTATGACTTCAGTCACCCACTACAAGGAACTGAGATGAAAGAGCAAAATAATTACATGAAGCGTATTTCTTATAAGAGCCGAGGGCTGAAAGTCGCCAAGCTACTAAATTACTGACTAGATGCTTCAGAGTTTTCTTGTTTCCCGTTTCTGCAGCAGACGTAACTCGGAATTAAAAATGCTCAAAGTGTTCTTAGAATGAGCTGGCTACAAATGTGCAACAATGGAGAAAGGAGGGATGAGACCCAGCTTGTTATTGGTCTCTAAATAGATTATATTAATAATGTATTTCCTGTAATTGTATTCATTACAGAGATATGATTACTTGCTTGGGTTTGATCTCTTCAAAAGGGGATAATTATTAGAAACAAAAACAGAAGTTGCTGGAAAAACTCAGCAGGTCTGGCAGCATCTGTGAAGAGAAATCAGAGTTGACATTTCAGGTCCAGTGACCCTTCCTTGGAACAAATATGTTGGACAGGACTTCAGTTGACAATCATATCTTTATAATTGTTATCATCTGAATTCTTCTTTCTATTTTAGGGTGATTTTGAAAGGGCAGCAGAAGAGGTTAAACAACTCAAATCACAACCATCTGATGATGAAATGTTGACTGTCTACAGTCTATACAAACAGGCAACTGTTGGAGATGTGAATACAGGTTTGTTAATGATAAAGCTCAGTACTAATATCACTTGGAGTTGAACTGCGATTCGTCTATTAAAATAACTTTTATTTTCCCAGATCGTCCTGGCATATTTGATCTTAAAGGAAAGGCCAAGTGGGATGCATGGAATGCACGTAAAGGTTTGTGCAAAAATTCTTAAATAAATTTGTTTCTATAGATATAAACTTCTATAAAGTATAAATTATACGAAAATGAAGTTTTCTAATTAACCAACATAAGTATGTACAGCAACTAGAAAGGG